ATTTTTTCGCGGTCTCCCAGTTTAGAAACGCTCTCATCCGTTCTCGCTGATACGCGGCAGCTGGCGGTAGATCGGATCGATGAGCGGCGTCGAGTAACTCGAGTGCCGCCTCTCCGTCGCACTGACTTTTCAAGCTATTTTTAGCGCAGGACTATTCCCGTGATACTATTTAGCAGCCTCGACAGGTGGTGCGCGTTCATACGATGCTGTAACAGCGCGCGCGTGTCACGCAGATTAAAGATTTTTTTATTATATTTACATAATCGCGCGCGATGCGAAAACGAAGCGCGCGCTCCGGACGATGATTCCTTACGATTGCTACAGCGCGAAGGGGATTCATTAATTTTATGCAATAGAATATCGTCCTACAAGGACGATAATTGTTCGAGAACGCGATTTAATTTTTCTTCATTTTTTACAGTTATCATCTAATATATCTTCAATAATCTTTTATCTTTGCACAAGACTTATCTCACGCGACAGACTTGCTATAGTTAAGATTTGTATTTTAAATTATTACGATCGTATTTACGATCTTCGACAGTGATTATGGATCATTAGCAATTGTTCCGCGCAATGAAACGGTCCATACATAATAACCGTATCTAAATGGCGTTTTCATCTTCGCGATTGGAAATACGTGGCGTACGCTTAAATGTTAATCTCAAAAACATTAGTAGCACTTAATGTGGTGTGCACGTGGTACACACATACGTGCGACGGACGGTGCGGTAGGAAGAAAAATCAATATTGCAAACGAGAACGGAATTTACATTGTGAAATTTTCGCTGCACTTCCGCTAACAAAAATAACAAGCCCCGGAGGGTCTCCAGAGGTTAATCAACGGACTTGGAGGGCGAAAATAGGGGGAGGGAGATGAGCTACTAATTAAAACGATTGTCCGCCGAGGACAATGCGCGACATATCGCGCGTTGTATATTTAACGAATATCATACGTCATTAGCATGCGGAAATGTGCGACGGTGATTCGTGACGTGTGAATAATTCCTGCATATTATAGGGAAGTTCCGGCCCATGAGCGGGCGAGCGGGGAGGACAACGACGATTGTTTCGCGGCCTCGAGCGCGTAAGTGACGTGGGAACGATCGATTATCGATCCGTTTCGCCGCAACAAATGCGTAACGCCAATCCCGCGGGGTGTCACGGCGTCGTCGTTAACCGTAATCCGCGCGCGTGCCTCTAAACGAGGCATTCGGCGCAGCGACACAGTTTCTGTAAAACCCGTTTAACCCGTTTCCACCGCGATCGCCGCGAGCAACAATATCGACGTGCACGAGGCCCGATTATCTTCATCTCGTCCGCGTATTCACAACGCGGCGTTATCCGCGTTATCCGTGGACAAGTCCCGCGTCGCGTTTTCGACGTTTAATTCTCACCGCCGTTTGAATCCGGACAATCGAAAGGCGACAATCCAATATCATTATCAATTTTATTCTTTATTTAATTTACTTTAAACCGGTGATTATAAAAAAATTTTCGAACATTTTTTTTTTTTTTTTTTTTAATGGGAATTTTCATCGCAACAGAGTTATTGCTCTCTTTGTTGATATTGACTGATGTATCTTCTTTATGTTCGATTTGCATTTAAATTTTTATTTATGATTACATTGTGTGTACATACAGAGTCGTTAATGTATATGTCGACTAGGAAAAGAGACACGCGGGAAATATTATTATTATTATTATTATTATTATTATTATTGTGGAGCGAGCAATTGAAGTAACAGTAAAAGATAAAAGCTGCATAAAAATAAAAATAAAGAGCCAGGATTTTTTTCTCCTCTCTCGCGAGAAGAACACATTTCGAATTGTCGATTCTCCAAGTTTCAAAAGATCTCTCATCGTAACCCCGATCGTTCGCAACTATGAACTTTTCGTGTAAGCTCCGCAGGCTTTTGTAAACAAATTGGCACATTACGTTGTTATCATGTGTCGCGACGATAGTACGCTATCGCTGAATTGAATCTCGACGAATAGATTACATATACGTCTTACGTTCCCGTTTCTCTGGCTTGAACTGTTTCGTTCAAGCATCGACGGCTATCGCGATGCGGCTACATTACAAAAAGCCGCAATAAAACGTAAGTGTCCGAAGGCACACGTGTGTGAGTTCATACACACATGGACGGATGGAGAAACCTCTTTGACGTATCTAGGGCTTAGTCGCCTCGCCGTCAGAACTTCTCAGGCAGGACAGAAGAGCGAGGCTAAAAGAGACCGAGCGACAGATAACTATGGAAATACACTCGCCTTCCTTCTCGAACAATAGACCGATACGTACGAACATACGAGGTCGAGGAGATCAAGGAGCAATGATAATACAGGAATATATCGAATAATTTAAGCTAAGGGTAAATTATCGCTGAATAATCCCGATAGGCAAGGTCGAGGTATTAATAGTAATTAGCAGACGTTGCTCCCTCTCGTACCGGATATTACTTAATCCCTCCAGTTGCGGTAGGTTAATCTACTTGCTCGAAATTATCGACAAGCTACATAGGAACGCACTGCATGTTTGCGCGACATTTACCCAGATTTCTAAACGGATCAGATCATGAAACAATAAGCATAAATTAGCGTAACATAGCATTTCATTTCCTCCGTCATTTCTCGGCATTCATTTCCTCATAAGATTCATAATGTTTAAATATTTATATATGATTTTGCGCTTTTTATCCATGTGAGACTTGATTATTTGTAAAAGTTGTATGTAATAAAGTAAACAATTGCATTAATTTTATAATATCAGCGAATAATCTAAGAATCTCGATTATTTCTTAAAATATTAATTTTTACCAAATCAAGATATATATATATATATATATATATTGCATAAATTTTGAATTCCTCTACTTATATCCACACAGGGTAGTTCCTCAAAATTCTTCTGAATTCTTACACTAGAAGCGTTTCGTAATATTAATGGTTGTTTTGACAATCCACGGTCTTTCCTAGGAAGTTCAAGGCAACACAGTCGGCAGAAATATCAATTAATGATTAATCCGCGGCAATGATTAATCGGCTCCAATTCGATTCATAAACAAAGGGTTAGGAACCGCAGCCGTCGCAAAAAACACGCGCATTCCTGCGCGCGCGCGCGCAAGCGCCTACTCGTCGTATCGACGGGGGAGTGAAGATATAAGAGATGACAACTCAACCTCGGCTGCTGGCACAATGGCAACCAGGACAAGGACGATTACCACAGTGTGAGCCTTCTCTCTCTCTCTCTC